TAAATGTCTTTATTGAAAATACTTTATAATGAACTGGTACGTAAAGTATATGTCAATCTCGTTTGTGCTAACTTCTAATATCCAAATATATAAAATAATCAGAACATCCTAAGAAGAGAGAGAGAGAGAATCTTGGCATCTTCAGCTTTCCGTCTTTATTCCAAGTAAGCAATTTCGAATAATTATTTTTGAAATTGATTCTTAATATATTTGCATAGAATGTATTCTAGAAATTTGGATTATATATTAGTGATGGTACTTATCCAAAATATGTCATGATCATCATGGTGGGTAGTTGGCGATTTATTTAAGTCTAAGTGCACATGTAGAAATCATTTCGACTTTTGTACTTGAAATTTTGCAACAGACCCGTTCGGTTACTTGAACCACAATATGGGGGTTAAGGGAGGGACATTGAGGTTTTTTTTATTCAGAAAAAGTGTCCAATTCGGGATTCTATCCTGAATCGTGGATATCGATATTGGACCGTTTCTACCACTCCTTCTCCAAACCCCGATTATATATATTGAGGGAGAAGAAAGAGGGATCCATGCCTTATATCAACCAGCTAACCAGATCGACGAATTTTCTAGAAATGACCCGTAAACACACAACGCAGTTATCTAGAAGGAGTCTAGACCCGAGGATGTCATCACTCGGTCAGATCAAGGCACCAAACTTCAAGATGATAAACACTGCTATCAAAGACGGATTTCCTAAGGAGATTTTTACTCATCTTTCAAAGAATCTTATCTGGCGACAAATTTCCTTTCCTTATCTCATTCTTGTATGCAATCGTTATTCTATCCACAATATGACTCAAGGCGGAACTGGAAATTCCTAGCATCCTATCAAAGAGGGAATCTTAAGATGAAGTTAGGACTATATATTGACACAGAGGTATAGAGTTTGAAGAGAAAAGAAATAAAATGAATTTAAAATAGGACTGAGAATTACAAGAGAAAGCTTCAAAATGTAAAATGACTAATCTAAAGTGTCGCGCGCGCGCCGCGTTATATTATTACATATTTTACATATTAAGAAAAGATGTATATATTCGATTCATAAATATTTATTTCTTCCAATATTTCGAGGGGCAACTCGCTTCTCTTTATCGAGGATGTTTGTGTTATTCACTAAAATATGTTAACACAAAGCAATAACTCGCCATCTATACATATAAAATAAAAGGATTTAAAAGCGCGAATGTTTCTTTTATACATAAAACGAACTTCTACTGTCCTTACTGCGATGAAAAAAATATATTGGGAGGGCTTGGCTCATCAGTGGTGAACCCTCCCAGCGGTTTCGCCAATTTAATCCACCAGACCGCTTCTCAGAGCTCCAATACTGTATTGGATCATTCTGCTTTTATATGCTACTCTGAAGGATGGAATCTTAGAAATGGTTTTCAAGTAAACTATGGACATAAGCTTATAGGACAATAGAATTACATTCAAATATTTGCTTCGAGCAATGCTCTTCAGCAAACTATAAAGACAAGGCCAGTTAGGCATAAATTAACACAAAGCAATAATATGTGAGCACACGTGCATCACTCTCGTTCTACAAGACCCTCAAAATATGGGAAGAAGAAAATTTTTTATAAATCTAATAAATGCATATTTTCTAAATATAATATTAATTGTGGATTTCTTAATGTGTGTCATTTAAAAAACTTGCTTCGATTTAATGCCAAGAGTATTTATTAATATATACGGTGTAGCGGCCTTGACCCCAAAGCTATCCATTACAGAATAAAGATACTCATAATGCAAACAATTTTTATTTTAAAGTTTTTTTTTTTAGAATTTCCTTTTCTCTTGCAATTTTTTCTCCGTATTTTTGGCATGAAGTTATTTTAATGTTGTTTCTTTGAAAAGAAAAAAATCGTACTGAATAATTTCATTTTTAAATATAGATGGTGCGTTTATTTCTTTTGCTTTCATAACGAGATTTAGATAGTAAAAAGGCATGTATTTGGATTTTATTAAAGATTTATTTGCTAATATTTCGGTTGGCTGAACGGTTGCCTTTGTCAAGGCATTACATTTTTGTATAAACAAACTCAGCGTCGTATAGTGTTATAATATCACAGTAAAAAATATATATATATTTTTAAATGTAATACCTTGACAAAGATTGGCGTTCAGCCAACCGAGATATTGGCAAATAAATATTTTATTCAATCCAATATATGTCTTTTATCTAAAGATATAAATATGGATTTCTCTATTTTCAAACAATGAGATTTGTTGCGAATCATTAAAAAAATCGAAATGAAGAATAAAACGAATTTTGACATAATTAATACTGGAGTTTTGTGGCAATAATGCAGCCACGTTGAGAAAGCTCTGTTAACTAGAGTCATACCTACAACATAGAGATGGAGTAAATGGCATTTCCCTCAACTGCTTATAGATGAAGACTCGTTCACCAAAATCTAGCCTCACTACCTGTAGAATATATGGTAGGAAACTTTATACTATTCCATCTTTTATTTCTGGTAGACAATGTTAAAACAACTGGAAAATGACCAAACAGAATAAATATAATTTTAAACGATCGCTATTCATCAGGGCAAAAAGCTCCTTTAATAATATTTTTCGTACAAGCGTTATTTAAAAAAAAAAGCTTTGCCCCAAGGCAGGAGTCGGTAACTTTTTGAGTCGGAAAAGTAAAAAATTACAACTTACAAAATTTGAAAGTTTTTCAAGAGCCACAAAATGTTTTCATGTCAACAATAAATAGTACAATGTAGTACTATATATACTATGTAGTGTAGTACAATAAATAAAGTTTTTATTTATGCGCGTACTACACACAGCTTCCCATCCCAAGAGTCGCATGTGGCTCTCGAGCTGCAGGTTGACCGCCCAAAGTCAATAGCAATCGTTCATTGATCCTTTGTAAATATATCTCTAGGTGATTGTATTTCAGTTTGAAGACACTGTCAGGATCCTGACAGAAGAACATTAGAGAAGAGAAGGAAGCCAATCACCGACGTACCCTGGCTGTTCTCGCCCTGTATGTAGCGGAAGAGCATGCGGTACATCTCCCGCATGGATCGGGCCAGCGACGGCCCCTTCAGCGAGGTGGTGGCCCAAGTTGTCCGTGGGTAGGCCCGTTCCTCGAAGTTCTGCCCACATACATAGATCAGCTGTCTGTATATAGCTTACTACTTGAGGTTTCACTGGAACGGCATTGATTGTGATAGTCAACACATGCAATTGTGAGAAAATATAAGCGCGCCATCTGTATGTCGAAATGTAAACTATTCATAGCGCGAATGTCACCTGTCAAATAAAAAAATTGCCTATAATTCCCATAAGCAATGATAATAATATTGGGAAGGCCTGTCTCATCAGTAGAGAACTCACCAAGTGGTTTCATCAGTTTGATCTATCATACTGCTCTGAAACGAAAAGCCTCCAATATACTGTAATTATGAAGCGGTTAGGTAAATTGAACTGGAGAACCACTGAGAGGTCTCACCATTGATGATCCAGGCCTCTAAATATTGTTATCATTGCTGTAAAGGCAGTAGAATGTTTTTTTTTTTTGGAAATACATTCGGGTTATAAATATAGCTTACATTTTACAATTGAAAACTTTGATATATGTTATTGTGCATTAGATTCTGTGATGTCATTTCAAAGATAGGCCATTCGAAGTGAGATATATTGGGGTAATTACAATTTAAAATAAATATTTCAAATTTGTGTTATGTATCATTATCTGGTTCACTTTTCACCTAAGATTTTGGAAAATTAAGTCGACCACACCAGTGGTTCAATATATTTAGATTGTATGATACATTAGTGCGCCATCTGTAATGAAAATTCGGAACTATTATAGACGCGTATGATTCTTTTAAAAATTAAACAATTTCTACTGCCTTTACTGCGATGGAAAAATTAATGGGAGGGCCTGCCTCATCAGTGGTGAATCCTCCCAGAGGTTTTGTCAGTTTAATCTACCATACCGCTATTATATTGCATTTTTCGGTTTTCCTTTAATAGTGATACAAATGCTAGACTATTGGAATGGGTATTTTAGATGAACTATGGACATAAGCTTTGAGTTTTCCATTGCAGTAAGGACAATAGAAATTGTTTATTTTCAAAAGAATGATACGCGTCTATAATAGTTTCGAATATTTAGATAGACCAAGTATGTTGGCAGCACTGAGGGCTCGTATCTTGGCGATTATCAAGTTATTCGCTGAAAGGTTTAAAGAAGAAATTGGATTGTAAATTCCACGATATTCTTTCAGCCCTACACTGTAAACAGAACGACCTTGACATTTCCTCAGCAGCAAGTCTCTAATGAGGAGTGTGGAATGTTGGATGAATATGGAACTTACCTCATTCTTGTGGAGGACTTCGTACTCTATGCACTCAGTTCTTCGTCGGTAGCAGTCTGCGTGACACACCGCTACCTGCACATACACCACATGTGATATATACCACAAGTTGGACATCTATCTAAGTAAAGTTTGTCAAATACTTGGCAAGATACTTAATCATCACAGTAATATATGATAAATATTCACACACACACACACACAAAAGCCTTTATTAAGACACACAGGTCTTACAGAGGATTCTCCTTGGGGTTACAAAACGGAGAAACCTATGAAAGTGAGAAATAAAAAATGGAGAAAGATTATATACATTTGGTAAATATATACAGATTATAAGAAAGAATAAAAAATAAGAAGAATAAAAAAAATCAAAAAAAAAAAGAAAAAATTTTTTTTTGGAAATATGGATGGGAGAAGTGGAGAGCGAAAAGAGGAAAGAAAACAGGTATATGATAAATATTCATCTCTGACTTATAATTTATTAATATCAGCAAGCAGTCCAGGGTAATAATGTTTCTTGAACCATTTTGTGTTCTTCAACAAGAGCACATGGAAGTTATACTTCTAGATACTCCTGTTGAATAACATGTTAACCCGAAAGCTAGAGAGAGAGAAAATGGTACAAGAAACTTAACCCTGGATTGCTTAGTGGACATGGCATCTGCCCGGTAAGCGGAACACTGTGGGTTCGATTCCCATTCCTGGACGCTTTTATTTTTCCGTTTATCATTACTCTTCACAATTTATCCTATCATTCTTCATCCCTAAGGTTAGAAATAATCGTTTTTTCTCCTTAAAATAAATTTCTATTTTTCGTTCAAAAGAAACGCATGCGGGATATTTTCAAATGTCGTCCTACAATTATAAACCGCAATATATTGTATTATAAATTACTGTAATATATACCTGCCTTTAAATGAATTTTAAAAGAATTATTAAGCACAATAAATCTTCTCAGAATACACCTATAGTCTTTCCAGGAAGTAATTTTAAATTGTTAAGATAACAACTAGTATTTTTTTTATGTGTGTGTTTTACACAAAAGTGGCCGCTCATCAGATGATTCCCTCATTAGAGGGAGGTCTAGCTGTAATAATCAATATAAAATTAATAAAGGTATTAACTTTTATAATATATTTTCTTTTTTAGAAGCAAATAGGATATTATAATCATAGCATAATATTGATATCCCTAATAATTCTATATATACTAGTCGCAAATGTGTGGACGGCGAATTTGTCCATTTCTAACTCTAAAATATACAAAATTTTATTATAGAGATCACCTTCTTTGAAAAATCCTTCTCTTTGTTGAGATAAGGTAAGCACTTATGAAAGAACGATGAAGTTAGAAAGCTAGTACTGATAAGTTGTTAGAACAAAGAAACGTTAATCCTGATTATAAAAAAGGCATCTCCTTATCGTGCAACTGAAAGTTGCTGATGGCTTGCGCCATCAATCGGAATAATTATCAACTATTCTCGTTGATTTTTAATTATTCCAGAATTGGCCTAATACCCATTATTGATTAATCAAGAAAAGCCAACCAATGGGAATTTGGCCAATTCTGTAATAAATAAAAATCAACGAGAATAGTTGATATTTATTCCGATAGATGGCGCAAGCCATCAACAACTTTCAGTTGCACGATAAGGAGATGCCTTTTTTATAATTCTCAGTACAATATCACATTTGTACTATTTTTTCACGTTAATCCTGATGTTTAAGCGATTGGTTAGGTAAAAAGCTAAATTACAAAAAGTATGAGACGCCACAACTATTTTTATTTACTTGATTAAAGGAAGCTTTCTTGGGCAAGTCCTTCAGCTAACTAGAACGTATTTATATAAGGTTGTCCCAAAAATATCGTGTTTTTCTTATTACTTGGAGAATAAAATTATTACGGAGTGTTAGGTATATTAATTCAAAGAATTTTTCTCTATGTAAATAAATTATATAGATATATGAATAAATATAAATTGATGATGATAACATTAGCTAGCATATGACGATTAACAATTGTCAACTTAGTTAGTACCTTCTTGATTCTTATTTTTATATTTCTTCTTTATTCTTAAATTTTACTTTTGTAGTTTTTATGCATAAATATGACATTAAAATATATTTAAGTAACATTTTCTCTTTTTTACCCCATAAACACCAACACGGAGAATACATAATAATATAATTACTTTAAACATAATAAAAATATATTATACATAATAACGAAAAATATAGGCTGTATTGTCGTGTCCAAAGAAGAGCCTCAGATGTCTCCATACATCTCTATCACAGCAGCAATGTCCACTATCTTGCTGGAGATATTGGTTTTGCTCTTCATTGGAAAATGGGTGCCGTTGCCACGTTAGTCACCTTGGAAACGAACCAGAATTTGATCAAATATTCCAAGGGTCCAAGGGGGACCGCAGGGAGGAATATTATTGGTATTTCAAATTTTGCAAGTGTTAATGAACTTTTGGGTCAACCTTGTAGTTGGCAGAAGGGCTTTCCCGAGAGCTTCATTTAATAAAGTAAATAAAAAAATATTTATATAAAAAATAGACACTTCGGCCAGTTGGAGTTTTTTATTTTCTCAAGGTTTCGACAAAAATCTTTTGTCTTCGTCAGGAGAAGTAAATAAAATAAAGCATTTGGCAAAGCGTTAAAAATTGTTCTGAGGTTGCGAGGGCGTTCTCACGTAATTTTTCGAATTTAGTACAACATTTAAAGCGCGAGTCAAAAACAAATATTAAACTCGTCAAAGACTAACTCGCGCTTTAGATGTTGTACTAAATTCGAAAAATTACGTGAGAGCGCTCTTGCAACCTCAGAACAATTTTTAACGCCTTGTCAAATGCTTTATTTTTATTTACTTCTCCTGACGAAGACAAAAGATTTTTGTCGAAACGTTGAGAAAATAAAAAACTCCAACTGGCCGAAGTGTCTATCCCTATATATAGTCACGACCGTCTTTCCTCATCGGCCTCTGTCACGGATGCGCGCGCACAGGGAGGTCACGTGCTCGCCGGCTCCCTCGAGCCGGATTTGAACCAGCGACCTAAGGATCACCGTTGTAACATCTACAGTCGGAGAAAACACGGGCGTTGCCCGGGTCATTCGGCTAGTTTTTATATAAATATGAATGCCGGCCAGGCAGACTCTTATCTTTACGATAAATAAAAAGAGTTACGGAGTGTGTATCTTATACTTTTTATAATTTGTCTAAATCCGCTATCTTGTGATAATGAAGGCAAGAAGTTAGTTATAAAGAAGAGAGATAACTCCATGTGGTGTGTAGATTACTTACCAACACAAATAGGCTACAGAAGGTTTTCCATGTTGAAGCTGACATGTTGACCCTATACACAGAAACCTTCTTTTAAAACATTGAATATTGGAAAACTTTGAACATTTTATATAAATACTTTATAAACTACAAAAATATTTTATCATAATGGGTTTATTTTTATCTTAAAATGCAAGCTTTCAAGTGATAATCGCTCTTCAACGGACTCAATTAAAACATAGACTTAAAACTGAAATTTTAGTTGTAAATATCCACTCTTCGCGAGTATATATATGTGTGTGAATATTTCTTTTAAGAAACAGTTGATGTTTTAATTAAACCTGTTGAAGAGCGATTATCGCTTGAAAGTTTGAACTTTAAAATAAAAAGAAACTAATTTTAAGAAAATTCTGTAGTTTTTAAACGCTTTTCACAATTTTATCTTAAATCATGAATAGAAAAACTTTATAATTAAACAGACGAAAGGCAAATCTATTCATTTTTATAATAGAAAATGTACTTTAATAAATTTGGCAAACATGCACTAACAGGTATTTTTTGTGAGAAATAAAATTTTTAAAATAAATTGGGAAAGAGAGATAGCGCGAATTTTTCATCTCTTTCATTGAGAGTTATACCTTTCAAATGGTGTTAAGATTTCATTCGATCAGTTAAATGTAAAAATTATATTTGAAGATGAAGCGATTCGAAATATATTACAAGTTGTTGAAAAAAAATCTCCCTTTATTTTTAAAAAAGTAAATATTATTTCATACAGATTTCTCAATATAATAAATTAGATTGAAGAAAATGATTTATTTTACAATATTTCGGTTAGCTGAACGCTAATCTTTGTCAATCTTTGTTTAGCCAATCGAAATATTTGCAAATCAATCTTTTTCTTCAATCTAATATATGCCTTTTTATTATCTAAAGATTAAAATATGGATTGCTCTATTTTCATAAAAATGTATCTATGTATATGTGTGTGAGAAAAATAAGAAAATATATAAAGGTAAAAATATTTTTGCTCCACGCACACACACAAATTATATATTTTCTAAAATTCAAAAATATGGCAAGAAATATATATACAGGTATATATAGTATAGTTATGAAAATTTTAAGATTAATATTTTTTTTAAATTTAATTTAAATGTGTGAGGTTTGTTTTTTATTTTTATTTTTGTAATAAATAATTAGTTATATTATATTTAAGAAAAAAAAAGTAAAACCAGCAAAGCATCGGCAGTTACGCGTCATAGGCTGGGTGAAAAAAGGAATAAGCGATGAGAAAGTTTTATAGAGAAGAGCAAAGACAGAACCATGATAATAATTTTCCAAATATAAAATAAAGCTAATTAGAGAGAGAGAAGTATTTTTTTGCTCTATTTTCTCTCTTGATGAGAGATGATAGATTTTTGTTAATTTTTTTTGGGGGGAATTTTTTTTATATAAGCTTATTCAAAGACAAAATAGTGTAAATGTGGAGGACACGATATAAGATAATATATTAAATTGGGAAGGATGTAAACCTAAAAGATTAGACCAGTTGAAAACCATAAAGGTTAGACAAGAGTAGAAAACAAAGGTTAGAAAGAGGATGGTAATCAGGTGGGCCTCTTCAGTTGAAGACCTGAGCAGCAGTTTCGGCCCTTACTCCATTAGGTATATACAGGTATATATATATAACATTATAACAGTAATATTATATCTATTATTTTACACACACACACATATATATGAAAGAAAATAGATCAAGAAAGAAAAAAGGAAAAGGTAAAAGGAAAGTGGGTGAATAATATAATAAGGTATCAATAAGGTTTTTATTTTTTAAACAATAAGGGCTATGACAAGTTCACGATAAAGTTTCGGCAGTTACGTGTCATATAATTGCTATACTGACAACATATTATCAAATCATTTACCTCAAGAGTTAGTTTAATCAGTATAAAATCTATTTATATATATTAAAATCAAAAAAGAATATCCTGTTCGAGTTCACGTGTGCTTTTTAGATGGCAGAGCGCCATAGAGTAATATATATATTCTCACTCATAACGGGGATTTAACTCAGTTTGGTTACTTGCACTAACTGGTGACGTTAGAATTCTGAAAGAATCGGGGTTCCTTGAAAAATAAAAGGTGCTCAATACGGGATTCGATATAGGGTTGTTTTTCGAAAATCGACAATGCATGCCTCTTCTCTTCCAAGCCCATTCCTAGAAAGACGAATATACAGAACACGTAAACTGCACACCGAATCTATTGGGATATCAGTTGCAAGACGATTACCCAATGGCGTAATTTGTATGCGTTTATAATTCCTTAAACAGCGGATTTCCTCTAAACTCTTGTTTGGATGAACGGACACGTGGCCGTAGATGGCAAGAGAACGCCTTTTTGACTACAGACCATAATA